TCTAATTTAAGTTTTCCTAATTAATTATAACGGTTATTCCTATCGTTGTTTGTGTGAGTGACAGATGGTTATTTATCTTGATCAAACAAAATAACTGGATCATTTGAGCCAAATGCGGCTCACCTGGCTGAAAATCAATATCTTCCATACCATTAATCATGTTATATTAAACGATGACAAGAACGTATCACATTGTAAACAATATTAATACAGGAAAAGGCCGATAGTGAATACCTTCGTTTGAATGGCAAAAATGTTCTATGCTGTTACATGGGTGAAAGGAAGAATTGTTAAAAATACTGAAAAGTTTTGGGGGTGCAGGGGGCGTCAGGCTTTCATAGTACTTTCCATAGTGTGATTTTAGTTAAAAAAAAACTTGTCACTTTTTTTTGTTCCTCTTCTTTTTCCAACCTCATCACAAGCCGTCTCATTTTCTGTCTCTTTTCCCTGATGAGTGTTTCCACACCGCCTTTAGCACCCCTCATAGTATTACAGTTGTCCATAAGACAACTTATCACTTGCATCCATTCAAAGTTACATGCCTTTAACACATCACTTACCTCTTCAAAGATGTTTTTTGAAGTTGATAAATTTTGCTTTTTTGATGCCAGGTGTTCAATGACAATTTTGCCGGACGATTCATCAAAGTATTGTATCAATATATTTACAACCTTATCCATGGCATTATTTGTCGCCTCGTCCAAGTTTAGAGAGAAAAACTCCCTGAAACTGCTTCCTTTAATTCTTCTTTGAAGCATTTGGCGATACCGTGTGTTGTTATATATGTCATACTCGTCCTTGTCAAGGAAAGTTTATCGAGGGCAGCTTTATCTTCACCCATTCGTTTTGCACAGGCAATCAAATGCTCGGCCATCGAAAATGGCAAGGTATGTTCGCATATAAAAGCAGATGTTACCGACCTCAATTCAGCGGTGTTTTCCAATACAGATGGTTTGGTAATAGTGTCACATGCCCCTGGAAGTGTTGTATTTGTTTTCAATGCTTTTACTGCTTTCCTGTGACCAACATCTTCGCTGTGAAGTCGAATACTTTTTTTACCGTTGCTCGCATATTTAATAGATTTCCCACACACAATACAATAAGCAACGCCCGGAATATCTGGTTTCTTTATCCAGTCTAGCCATGCCCACCTCCACTTATTCTTAGTCTTTTTCTAAACTTTTGGTGTCATTTTTTACCGTTAGAAAGCGCATGGTCCTCTAAAACGACGCTTTCTTGTAGATGTCCCGATTATGATTAAGCCCCCCCCCCCCCCAACAACACTGAAGTATCAATATATTTACAGGGTAAGATATAACCCCAGATTTACAGGGTAAGATAAAACCTCGGATAACACTGAAATAACGATATATTCATTTGTTAGATTAAATCACCATACATCTCTAATATATCCATATATACAGTTGGTAACATTTACCACGAATTACACTAAAATACAGAATACATGGTCAGTTTATCCATATATAAGCTGTACTTTGGCGATGAAGAAAGACAAAAGTGGCGAACCTCTAGGCATACAACGACAGACAGCAGATACAAACACTATAGATTCTAGACGGTTGGCCAGAGAACCGTAAACAATATTCAAAGAAGAAATATCCCAAAATCTATGAAGCTTTACCTGCACCATGGTGCATTGACAAATGTTTTTGATGGTCGAAAGATGTGATGTTCTGGTTCAACATGTTTGTAGACATTCGTGATATCGTTCAAAACTGTTAATCTGTTTGGAAGGACGGAACAGCAAAGCGAAATAATAACTTATTCCGCGAGAAATCACCCTGTATCTAAGGCGTTGCATGTGATTTGTTCATTTGGAATGACAAAGATTACCCTGTTGTAGTTTAATACAGCCGATAGTAGATACTTCGAGGTAGGGACGCTTAAGAATACAAGACGTCAGACACTTGTTAAGGAATCTTCGCTCGAAATGGTCCTCGGTAGGCGAGTAAAGACTTTGCTTAGTTTCTGATTGGTGTTTTATGTAGACAAAGTCAAGACCCTACTACCTAACATCTAACAGATTTGAAGAAAGAACTATGCAAACAGTAAAGCGGATATTTTCAAGGACAAAGGCTGAGAGCGACCTATCCATAGCTATTATTGGGTATTGAAAAACGTCACTGAGCAATGACTAAAGAAACATTTACATAGAAAACGAACAAGAATAAGACCACGCGTTAGGGAAGGGAAAACAGCTTCTGCTTCATCGAAGACGCCCGTCAAACAAATCTTGGGCAACCAAAGTATATAACAACTCCCAACTGAAAATAATGTTAACAACAACCATCAGGCATACTAACGAGCTTCAAACACGCCCACCTAAATAAGGAAACAAGAATGTTTTCCCAAAAAGGTTCGACAACCGTAAAACTTCCTCATGCCCAACCTTCGTCCTTGTAAGTTGTCAACACTTATGAATATCAAGATATTGGGAACATGTCATCTAAATTATTAAAATGAGATTCCTTCGTTCTGAACGGTAGAAATATGCTATGCTAAACTGAATATCAGTGATGTTATTACAATGAAATATACATGCATCACGATTAAATACTGTCTAAATATGCAGGCAATCTTCATATCCCGAGCAGAATTATAAAACTTAATTATTTTGTAATTTAAGAACTTTTGAGTTATTTGAAACTTTGACTGTTATATTATGAAATGTCGTCTAGAAAAATAAATATTTTTTTTTTATTTTTTAATAAATAAATATAAAAGACTGAAAGCGAAATAAAGTTAAATATGATTTTGACATATTATACTTGACAAAGATTTAAAATTTAATGTGCTGTACATAACCCTTAGTTGTCGTACAGGTATGAGATCAGAAGTCATGCTATTTTCGTCACTTAAAATGAATATAAAGAACGGTAACTTTCTATTCTGCAGAATGTATTTGCGCCATCAAAATTGACACGACATCGTTGTACTAAGTATGAGGATATAAGAAAAGTAATTAGTTGTCTACCATAACGTCGTTCCATGACTACAGAAAGGAATTATAACAAAGCATAAAATTTAAAATCAATCACGAACTATCAAGTTTCACTTGGTAGTATGATTGTGAATTTCGAAGACTGCCATTCCATGATGCAAAATGTGGAGACTGACGTATAAAAATAGTAATAATAACGTTGAATAAGCAATCATATGTGCAGGCAGATTTTAATCAGCAACATACATGTTCCACTTCTAACGTCTATCATTAGCCTACCATGAAGAAGAAAGACTTTGAATGTGCTCCCCTTTCGTACTTTTTAAAATTTGCTTTAAACAAAACAAGAGTACTGCAAAGCGGAACAAAAAACAAAGAAGATAATTAAAAAAAATTACAGTCCTCCACCTGGTGTACTTTGATGGAAGTCAAAGGTCGAAGCAAGGTCACAGTGAATTACTTTTGGTACACGACACACCGTCTCACCATGGTGCACCCACATTTCAGTATCAAATGGTGTAGGACAAACTTTCCTTTGATAGAGGTCAAAATCAAGGTCACAGTGACCTACGTTTTGCATGGGACACGTTGTCTCACCATGGTGCATTCACATGCCAAGTTAAGTTCCAGTATGCAATTGTATGGGAGTTAGTACAGACAAGATTGCGGGGCGAACGGAAGGACAGACAGAATCGACATCAAACTATAGCCCCCCTTCTGGTTCCTGGTGGGGGACTTATTATAGGCCCATTTAAATGAGTCTCATTGTAAGTGTACAAGAGACTAGCAAAATGTTGGATGAAAAAGGAGAAGAAGAACAGGTGTTCTTGAAGAGTAAGAATAATCTGCTTCATTGGTCACATCCGCTGTGTAGACCTACACAGTGACAGTAAAGTCACCAAATATGGACCAGCATTGCAAAGAGTCTTCTGGTGTATTGTTTGTGGCTGAAGATGTACAAATTGGTTTGGTTTGGCATGATGCACACCACATGAAAACATAACTTTATGTCGTGATGATCAAGTATCATAAAGATTGGTTGAAAAAAGTAGAAGGAATTTATGAAACGATCCTAAGACGTTTTTATTTTACAGAGCCTTTGGCGAGGTAAAATGAAAAATTTGACGCGATTTTCATAAATCTCACATCAAATGGAAACGAATATAACATCCTTTTTCATCACATGGTCAAATTTTCACTCAAATTTATTGTAAAAATATTGAGTGATTGAATACTTTTGGAATGGTTAAGTATATATCATCTAATTAACCTCCATTCAGAAAAATAAAATCATGTTACAGAGATTAAATCTACAAAAGTTCATAAACATCGGTTAGAGGAAATATTCAGACAAGATTTTTATATTTCATATCATGGTGATTAAGCCTACCAAGTTTCATAAAGATCGGCTGAAAAATGTTGGAGGAGATCTCCGGACAATATTTCTATAGTGAAATAAACAAAGGGGCATAACTCTTATTCAAATCATCTAATCAAAATCCCGTTCAGGAAAACACAATTCATATCATTGTTATTAAGCCTACCAAGGTTCATTAAGATCGGCAGAAAAAATGTACGAGGAGATCTCCGGACAAATAAAAGTTTACGACGGACGCCGGACGGACGGACGGACGGACAGCGCCATACCATAATACGTTCGTCTTTCGACGGGCGTATAAAAACAAAAAAAGATAAACAGTAATGATTTAATTTTTTAATTCATTTTCAAAAAAGAATGTGAAAACATGAAGTTGATTATAGATATAAATATAACTGGAAAATACTTAGTGGTAAGAACTGACAACAGTAGTACAAAATCTCTGTTAGGTGGTGTAACGATCGTTCTATTTATAGAATACTCATAATTGAACACATTTACAGGGTAACTGGCGGTATAATGTTTTCATGGAAATAGCCATCTAGTTGCTTGTGATTTAGGACGACAAAGTACTGCTTCAAGAATGCCATTTGAGCGTGCAGTATCGAATGTTGGTCTACATACGATCTAAAGATGTCGCGCCGATGACCTCATTGTAAATTAGGTTGTAGAAACAGTAGGCGGCCCTGTCATCGTTTTATGAACGTTATCTGGGTGTACACGTTTTGTATGACGTGCTATACGGGATTTAGGTCGCCGGCAAAATAGGCGGCGCACCGATCGTTTCAGGATATTCCATTGTGTATAAATAACAGGGAAATCACACGTAACAATAATACAAATTACTGCAACAATTATTAGTATAGCGACTGCTCCTATGCTGATAGACAAAGGACGGTGATCGGGAGCACTGTACAACTTCCGCTGGTATCTATTTGTCTGTTTTGAATTAATTTTCAGATCAGCAACCGCATCTGTAAAAGAGGTTCCCAGAGAGCTTGTTGTTGTTGTTGTTTGAGCATAGCAGCAAGAAAGACAACTCGCCAGATTTGACTGGTAACAAACATTACTCTGTGTTGTTTGACTGATTGAAGAAAGTGTTTGAACAGTTCTAGTAGAATCAGTTGTTGAAGTTGAAGAACCTGTCGCGACACCACTAGAGGCGGATACAACGCTGCCGGAACATGTGTACGTGTCCGCTGGATCTGTAACAACATTTGTGGACATTTAGCAAGATCTTGGGTTGGTTGCTCTTGGTTACATTTAGGCAATATTAAACAATGGTTGTTATGTTAATTAACCTATGTAACGAGAGTCAGCCATACAACGACCAAAGTATTATCACCATCTGTTCAGTAACAACTTTTTCGTCACAATAATATTACAGAACTGTTGATTATAGTATAGAGCAAATATGACATAAAGACGGGCGTCTCCAAAACGCCTCCACGATGAGATAATGAATAAAAGCTTCGATATTTCATGATTTAAATATAAATACTAAGAACGTGTCCTACATTTAACGATGAAACATTTTTTTCTTTCAGTCAAGTTTGTCGGCATATATTTCCGATCGAAATGACTGAAAGTTAAGATGAACATTTTTGTGTGCCGCACTTGTAAGAACATTTAATATCAACTAATTTCTTTATGAATAATTATGGCGTGCTCAAAGTATGCAATATATGTAAATACATTCAATCTTAAATGTCAGTAGCAAAACTTCATATGCGGAAATACGTTTCAGAATTATTTTGATAATAAAAAACTGTAAATATAGTTATTTTCGATTGGGTCTATGTTGAGGATGTATTGAAATCGTGACAAATAGACATCATGAAAATAAAAACAAAATTAACAATAACCCATTTTATGACTTTCCACTAAAAATAAATTCAATTTTGCTGTTGGCAAAATCATGAAAAAGGGATTTTCCCAGTAGACGTTCATTACGTATCGTACTGTGTGTACATGTCCAAGATCGTACCTATGACACAGTAGCAAACTGCCGGGAGATGACGGTTACAATGCTCAGCATACCACTTGTGTTCTGTTTTTTGCAAAAAGACGCAATACTTGTAAGACTGTGGCTCATTGTTCGCCCAGTTGGTATATGTTAGAGTGTCTTCATTCCATGTCGTGAAGACTCCATCATGATTGCTGTCCATTACACCAATGTAAACGCTATCAGATGCACTGCAAGTGAAGAAAAGTGTGATATTGCAACACATCAGACGGCCTTTCATATTTGATATAGTTGTTTGACTTTTACGTGCGATCAAATTTGCATGAAGGATACCTGGTATACGATAAATTACTGTATCTGCAAGTCTAGCAATTTATATTACTGTAAAATTAATAATTCTCGTTGGAAACTTATTTTCATTGCTTTCGTGGGTAATCTTAATCCACAAATTCATATGTCCACACACTGTTAAAACAAGCAGAGGTAGATTTGAGCTTTATTTATCCACGAAATCAAATGAAAATAAAAAATATATGATTTTGCTGTACAGGCTGTTTTCTGAACGCTTTTGTATGATGCCGACCTATTTGCATGATCTCGATTTGACTTTAAAGATACTACTCAAATAGATCAATGGATCACTACGTTATATTTACACAAATTTGAACGAAATGATGGAATTTGTCGTTCCTGATTGAAACCATGATACGTATTTAAGATGTATTCTTGAACAATTATTTTCCTGTCATAAACTACTACAGTAGGAAATAGTTATGTATTGTATGTACGCACTTACATTCACAAAAAATGATATTCCAGACATACTTAATTCAGATCAAATTTTATGAAGTAAATTTACTGGACACAAAAAATTAAGGATTATAAATATATGGGATTTCTTTTCTGCCATAAATTAAGCTTTACATTGACCACTGCTTTATCACCAATACATTCACAGTAACTTTTCGGTAACGATTTAGCCGTGCAACCTACAGTAAATGTGCGACAAGACATCATGTAACACAGGGTTAAATCAAACTGTATGTTGTGAGCTTATTGAAAGTCTGTGAACTTAACGTCTTATCAATGAAGAAATTGTGTATTTGGTTTGAACATCCTGACATTTTGCGTTCTGTTTTGGCCATTTGTTAGCATGAGACGTCACATGACAGCTGCAGAGGCTGGATGCTACAAGTAAAACAGAGGTTGGCCTCAGAGACTATAGATACCGGGATGAAATCTTTCATCTAAATATAAGACCCTTTCCGGATGCTGTCGTCCCGGAGTTTGCACTGATGGACGGCATGATCGAAATGGACTTACCTTCAACCAGAAACTATCGAGCGGATGGACTGATCTAGTCCTACATAGGAAATGTTACAGAAACGCATTATCGATCGTCCGTGGCTTTCTATCAGCCGACAGGAGCTTGCTGATGCTCTTCGGCAAGAATGACAACGAATGCCGCAAATGCCTATACGACGCCTGATTCGCAGCCTGCTAAGACGATGTAGTGCCGGTATTGGGACCAATTGAGGATACCGTCACTACTGATAGTAATGCTGAACCGGCTGAAGCATTTTGAACGTTTCAGCGCGCCATTGAGACTTTTAACTTTATTTTAAAGGAATATGAACTTTTTATGTAATTATACACGACAAGCTTAAATAAATTTGATTGAAAGTGGGTCGAAATTGTTCTTATTATTAGACTTAACCTTATATTTCATATTCCAAAAGCTTCTGCCTTATGAAACAGATGCATTTATCTTAACGTCATTAACTTTTTGTGCCCAGTATATATGTAGAATTCTTTTTAAATGACATAACTATCACAGCTTTGTGTAATTTGAAAACTTTTATTTTTGTAATATAAGCCCCTATTCGTTCTTCTAACTTCATACATAGATCAAATGCGTAGTCATTTAAGTTTTTTCTGCTGAGAAGATAATATTTTATATGATTTTTTATTGTGATATTCTGCTTCTGCAAAACGAGGAGGCCTTGTCATTGCAAATCTTTCGAGTAATATTTTGAAACACGACATCAACGTTTTGACCGAGGGGTCATTTATACACACCTCCATGTCGAGTCCATTGCAGCCGTCACTGTGGCATGGTGCAATGCAGAAGGTATATTTGCAAGCGTTCCGCCGTTTGTTTGACACATCAGTTCTTGGTAGATGGAGGATTCGGGTGAATTTTTCAACCAGTAACACCACGTGACATTGTTGTTCACATAGGAAACTGCAGACGGAGTGACGTCAGGGCAGCCGACTATAGATGATCCAACTGAAAAAAGACAGGTATTTGTTATGAATAGATTCATCATGTTTTATTGATATGAATTATTTCCCCTTTTTTCCCTCAAAATCTTGGTATATAAGACTAAATAGAATATTCCGAATTATGTAATTAAACTCAAAATCGATGAAAGGGGGACAAAATGATAACAAAAGAAAGATTTACACAGAGATTAGTGAAAAAGTGGGATCATTTGAAGACCAGACATTCCGGAAAAGTTAGTATCTTCTGCTTTCTCGACGACACCGTTAGAGACACAATGTTCTAAATGAAAACCAAGTGAACAACAACGAAATCATTAGTCATTATGTACGACTTTCAAATAACCCTACACCGATCGCACAAGAAAACAACATATTTCTAAACGGAATTGTTCCTGGCGACCACAAAAATCAATCCACACTCCGTGTGATTTACTGTTGAAAAAACACACCAGTTACACTTTTACAAGTAGCAAGACGTTCTTTCATAAGCGATGATTGTGACCAAAAGAATAAACTTTAATTAAAGTTAATGAAATTAAAATAGGTCGAAATAAATAACGAGATAAAGATTTTGAGTTGCGACCAAAAGTCCAATCTATTTAGTCTATCTGTGATACTGTAGTTTTTAAAACGTCCAATTCTTCCTTTTTTTCTCTGAATCGTGAAACTATTAAAACGCAATTTTAGAGGTGGTTGTAAACCGTGGGGATATTTAAGGATCATCGTCGCATCTTACCACCTTGACATCTCAAATGCTTATTTTAATCATATTGGTTTCGTTCGTTTTGAGTTGAGTTTACTTTATCAATAGTAACATGACCAAACCAATGAATCTAAAACAACGCGCTCTTTCGTATCATATCGCTGAAACAGGGACCAATCACATACCATGATAACAGTCGTAATAAAGAAATAATTCAAATGTCATCTGACAGAGGATTGTACAAAAGACACAATGTATTAGCTACTGTCTATACAAAAGTACATAAGAGCCAATGATTAAACAAGAGTCGTATAGCTATTTAAGGGTCCTCGGATTCGTCAGTCATGCTAAGAGTATAAAGATTTGAAATTTTGGGGGCAACTGCCGTGTCTAACTGACAAAAGTATGCACTTCTACAAAAATTGATATAAGACCTTGAAGAGTACAAATTATATTCAGCATCCCGGGGCTACCATGCAATCATTGAATAATACTTATTATTCGGGTGAAATGGATGGACAGATTTTATAAGATGGACGAATCACATCCCAAACAGGATAGTCACTTCTTTTTATGTTCAAAAAGCTCAAAACTCGAACAATTATTTTAATTATCCGCTGATGTTATATATATATATATATTGAAAATCCACTGACTTACAATTTATGATTGTAAAAGACACTTAAGATAATAGCACCTTTCAATACTATAGAATGAGATTAAGTATAAACACGTAATCCATGCTGCATAATACTGTTGTTTCATCCTTTTAAAACTTTCCGTGAAGAGAAGTTGACACTTAAAGAGCGGCTGTGAAAGATGCCAAAGCCCAAACAGCGGGAAACCCCAACACCAGAACACCAAAATAAATTTCATAATTTGCAATTTGACGAAAAATATGAACCGCGCCATTCCTTATTTACATTGTAAGTGGCATATTGACCATTGACTATGTTGAGGTGTATGAGCAACAACAGTATTATGTGTATAATGGCTCTGAATGTTAAATATTTTAGTATTTACAGCCATCATACCAAGGCCATTGTTCGTATTGTTTTGACTCTGATGCATATACGGTTATAACAATGAAATATCGATTACGCAATGAAAGCTTAATCCATTTGGTTACTTAAAGGGATTAATCATATGCTGCTTGATAGGCTTTTAACACAAAACGCGATCCATCTGTAGAACGGTTGTTTAGTTCCATTAAATATGAAATATATAACTACGTCTAAAATTAACACAAAAGCTCTCGAATAAAGTTGAATATAATAGAACTGAAAAAAGGCAGATTTAATTGTTAATGCATCAGTTGACTTTTTACATATATTTTAGGACATTACTGGCTTCAATACACGTAGTTTTTGGTATACGTTGGAATGCCAGGTAACAACACAAAATGGTGTTTCAATGTCTTTGTATCTGCTAGACATTTGTGCAAGTAAGAAAGCTAATTCATCATTGTTTGTCATTAATTAACATTCAAATGGCAATCAGATTACTTTTGATATAATTCGTATTTTTGATTGGTGAAAATGCAACAAAGAAAATTTTATAATATCCCAACATCCAATAATGTTCATTTAGGTCTTCAACTTCTAGAACAACTGATCTTATTCTGAATGTACTTCTTCAAGGGTTTATTCGTAAATCTTCCTACTTTGCCCTAGTTTTATCAAATTTGAGTTAGAATCAAGATTCTGTTGATAAATCAGATTTTTTTTCTATGCAATAGAACGCTACCAGAATAAAAGGCAAAAATAATCTAAAAATGTTACACTTTGATTGGACAGCCGCAAATCTCCATAGCAACCGCAAAATGTATTCTTTTTAAAATAAAAGATGTTTACATCCTATATTTCACAATATCAAGACAATATGCTCTAAGAATAAAATGTTTGGGAATTGTTTTCATGGTAATAAAAGGAAGGGTTGCTTGTTTGCTTTTTCTTTTGCAGTTTTTACTCAAATGTCTTTTCAAAAACTACGAAACAGGCTGAATTATTTATCTTGGAGTCCTAAAACTCAAGAAAAGTGATCCATCAAGTCAGCATTCACGAAATGAAGATATATGACTTGTGGTGATAATTCGTAGAAAATTTACTTTCCATAGTTACATCCAAGAGAAGTACCACAGCAACGGAAAAACTGTGAAATTGTTGACGATAAAACCCGAACTACGAATCATCTACATTGTCACAAAATGAACCCTACAGGGAATAGATACAAAACGTCATATGAAGCGATCTACTTTCGGACAAATAAAGCTATTGGTAACTAAGGATATCAAAATGTCAATGTGAATGTTATCACGTTCGATTTTGTTTCATATGAAATTATGCTCTATTTTCGGTCAAACATTCTTGATACAATATTTAAAGAGCAATGTTCCCGGTAACACTTACCTTTTTGACAATACCACAATGTAATAAACATCTGTAAAATCTGTAATGAAAACGAGATTTATTTGTAACTTGTTTAAAACATAATATACAATAAAAGGAACGAGACAGATTAGAAGATAATAAATAAAATAAATTGTTCAAACAGGATAATCAAGACACAAATATATCAGGTAAGAGCACAAATGAAAATTAATGATACTATCCATTTGAATTTAATACTGAACTACTCTACCAGCTAGGGGCTGTTGCGTATTTAGAAACCAAATGGTTCTTATCACATTTCCAACGAGGTGTGATATTAGAAATCTGTAAAGAATCGTATAAACCTAGAAAAATACCAAGAGTGTTGATTTGTACATCTGACATTTGACTATATCAAATAATTGTTGATCATTATCGTAATTTTCAAGGGAAATGTCTAGACCACACCATAATTTCAGTAAGGTATTTTTCTAATTTGGGATAAAAATTCGAGTGAATAAAAATACATACATATGACAGACGAAACGTCGACATAGCGTCAGCAGAATACATGTCCTCTTGTTCCTACCAGCTGAACGAGTCTGGTGCGCTCACGTCTTGTAGAGCGAGATCCTAGCTTAGGCTACAGCGACACACGTCGATCATTATTGAAGCGTAAGCCTCTTGTCCAACTCTTCTCATGCGTATTTCTACCCTCAGTCGACTTTTCGGAAGGGTTGGGTTAAAGTGGTGACATTTAAATCTTTATATCTGATAATACTTCACCAAAAGAATATTGTAATATGATATTTTCGATGTTTAAACGAATACGGCCTTGGTGTCATGTAACGTACTAAGTAAATAATAACAATAACGGGAATCTGTTGAATTTCAATTAAAAAATCAATACAGTGTATTTTAAATGGTATTACACGGCAAGCCATTACGAAACTCACTAGTTTTATGTCATATAAATAACATCGTCACTGTTTTAGTTCATTGGCAGGATTTAACATTTCTCAAAACATTGATTTGTTTTCTATACGACAGATTGATTTTTTCCGGGATGTTCCTATGGTTACCAATAGCTACAAAAAGGTTAAAACAAACTATATATATTTTTCTGTCTGTGAATAAAGAAATAGAATCATGAAAAGATATATACTTACCCATATAGAATTGAAGAGAAACACTTTCAAATTGGATATTACGATCGGAATGCGGGGCTGGGTTACAAAGATGTGTGCTTTTGCATTAACGTTTGCAACTCGAGAAATACCAATGAGCGATTTTGCAACTGGTACTGACGATGTCACCCATTATTGTAACCCCGATTACAAAGGTGGGAGCAGATTATAAAATTAGTAAACCCAGATTACCAGAACGTGTGCAGAGTTGTCGCTATTATAACCGGATTACCATAGTGGGTATTTTAGTTAACTACGTATACTATACAGTATGAAACCTTTTTTCAGAAATGGGGCGTGATAACAAGTGATGGTCTACTACAAATGTTGTGGATAATTGTTTTATGCCAATAATGACATGTGCATTTGTTACTAAGATTGCTGACGAATCCAAGGAAAAGACCACCTGTTCCTGACTGAGCGGGATGCGTTACAAAAACCACTTTTCTGGCCGATACATCAACGTAATGACATTTAAACTTCCAACTCTTGAACACTAGATCAAGATAATTGCGTTTTGTCTGTGTTTTCAAGCTATATGATCATCACGGAAGATTTGATGCATTTTTAATTATTCTGTTACAAACAGTTGCTAAATCTATGTTTCAAACAAATCACTTACTGCATTGGTTATTTTCGAAGGTTTAAATATTCGAGGCTCTACCGAAATCTTTGCAACAAACAGGCTGTATATAATTCACGACAGTTTCGAAGAAGACGATAATTTACTCTATTTAAATTGTGTTCTTTTTTGTATTCACTTTGACCGATTTCATCCTACACTAAAAAGCGGAAATTACATAACGAAAACCTTCAACCTAGCAATCTGTACAGTACTGGTACGTGTTATATGTACTTTAGCGTATAATTCAGCCCATTAGTTTGTCTTGTAGTTATTTACACTCAGAAGTACACAATGCACGAAATCACAATAGAATGGACAAATCAATTCAGCTTGGCATGGATAATAACCTAATTATAAATGTTCAAGTCTTTCTTTCTCGTGGAATTATGTAACAATCATTTGAACAAATTGTTATATTTGGAAACCATCGCATTTACTGCGTTATTGAATATTGTTGATTTTTCAGCGGTCGAATGTTTACATAGTTTCGTAGATATACAATTGTAAAACAAACGTTTAAACAAATATTGAAATAACATTAAAGAATCAATAGACAGAGAGAATGCCAAATATGGACATGTACTTTTGGAGAGCACAGTTACCGAACATCATACACAGGTACTTTTTTTTCTAAATATTCCATAATGAAAATTAGGAAATGAATTAAAATTTGGGTGTGTGTGCACCACCCCATCTAGTTTCTGACACAAACTTACTTAGATAAATTTGGAATTTCTAGCAGTCGCCTCCTATGATACTAACAATTCAGACTCATTAACGTGTCATTGTAGACATACTAGTTAATAGCAAAAGTCAAAAGGTCAACATTGATTGGAAGAAATGTCAAAGTCAATATAGCGCCATAATTTAAATAATTTCGTAATTTCATAACAATGGAATTGGAAAACCACACTTAAATCACTGAGTTAACAATACATCCATATTAAAGAAAATGTCATAGTATCACTATTTGAATTACATCATAGTGTGATAAAACTCGTATGTAATATTTAAGGTGCGGTGTTTGGCAGTAAGGACGAATTGCAATTTTTATATTGGGAAATGTCCTCGGCAATTCGGCCTCTCTGTCCGGCCCCTAGTAATGTGAAACAGTCGTATTTTTTCTCCTCCCATGGATCGACCGGAGGCCACCGTTACCGTGGTGATTCTGGCCTTCTGTTCTGATCGTTTTGAGAAGGTTAGGAACCAAGCTACTTATAACAAATGCTAACGACTTGTCTTATAGTACGGATGGGAAGTCGCCCTCTGGTTAACGCTGAGTCAGGGTTTTCTCTAACGGGGGAGTTTGGCTGTATGTCGCGTGAGAGAACGGACGGGTTTTCTTTTCCCTTACATTTGTATTTTCATCGTATACCCAAATATACATTCAGTAAGGACGCTAGCGGGGAGCACCAAGGAAGTTTATATATGACAAACTCAAGCAGTAAGGGAGCTCAAGGGTCAGCACACATGCAGTCCTGTGTATGCTGTGTGGCTAGTGTGTGAATCTGGGTATAGGTAGAATAGTGTAGACGTAAGGAGTACGTGACAATTATTGGTGTACTGTCGGTGTCTATATTCTCGTGGTAGTAAGGGTGTAAGCTATCTCGGTCTAGTAAACACATGGGCATAAGTAGTTTGGCTGTAGACGGTAACGGAACACTAGTTAGGCTGTCTGTCACGTTTTCAACAAGTAGGCGCACTGTAGGTTTTGTTGAATTATTATTTTCTGTTCCCCTATATATCTGAATTAGCTCTTTATTTTTTTTAAGTGTTACTCTTTTCCTGTATATATTTCTCAGTACAGGTTGTACGTGATCACGGGAAGTGATTGCTCAGACATAGGCAATGTCCCTGAGCTAGAAAAGGCTATATATTTCATTTTATATATATTTGCTCTACTAGATTATTGTTAAACTCCGTTAGGGGTAGGTATACCCATTTGGAATCGCCATTGACGACTGGGTCGAACCATAGGCGACACGTCACAATAGTTAATGAATATGGACATATTCATTAACTATTGTGACGTGTCGCCTATGGTTCGACCCAACATATTCATTAACTATTGTGACGTGTCGCCTATGGTTCGACCCAGTCGTCAATGGCGATTCCAAATGGGTATACCTGTGTACGCAATTCTCACCTTAAGTGCATAGTGTGAAGCCGTGGGCGACACCTCCATATGAGTCCTTCTCTAGAATCATAGATTCTTTTATTTACTAGGGTACACATACATATGGAAATTACGAAAATTTATTGAATTTATTTATTTATCACTTCTTTCAATGACTTTAATTTCCTCAGTCTTGCCCTTAGCACCACAGTAGTCCTCAAGGACGAAACAGCGGTATAGTGTAGTTAAATTCATGGTATTGAAAATAGATTATTTCATTATTGTACAATCAAAACGTAAATTGCCGCTTGTAAGCCCAGCCTCATCAGATGATGGGGTATTCAAATCGCTCTGCGTCTGTGGTCCGTCCGCCCGTCCGTAAGCAATTTTTGTTATCGCTAATTCTTGAGAAGAACTGGAAGCATTTTTCTCGCATATGTAGTAGGTTCTCCTTGGTCCTCAGTCGTGCCTTCTTAATATGGTTGTCTTGACCTTGATAAAGAAACAACCTGAAACTTGCCACATTGACCAAAACATTTAGTTGGGAAATAAATGACCATAATTTCTTAAAGATTGACCTTGACCAAACAACCCATTAACTTGAATTTGTCCAAGACTATTTGTTGATTACTAAGTGTACAAAGTCCCTGGTAGGGTCTAAACAGTAAGCACTGAAGAATTGAGTAGGCAGAGCGAAGTCACGCGTGTAATTCCATGACCTGATGAACTGCGCCTCATTGCAACATATACTTATGGTCACGTTACATTAAATGATCGTTAAATCCATTATCTGTCGTGGTATAACGGTGTATCAATGCACATCACTGTCGATTGAATTTCCATTATCTCTAAACTGAGTTGACGAATGCTTAAAATGTATAGATTGATGCAGGAAGAGAATACAGGGAGACCCAATGAGTTTATCATCGTTCTGTTATATATTTAAATGACCACTTTAACAGCAAAATCGAAGTTCTGTAAAACTAATACCCATTTTTTCATTGTATTTATCAAGGCTTGATTTTTTTTTACTGAAATTCAACAATGACTGATAATCAGATATTTTCATTGTACTGACCTTGGTTGCATACAAATTGGGCAGACGTTAACAATGATATATCAACAAAGTTTATCTGATAAAATCAATAATATATACTCAGCAACCGAAACACTTTCAATAGGTGTAGAGTTGTTCTAATTTGTGTATTTGTATAGGTCATAGATTGATATCAGATTAAAGATTTACCTCAAAAAGCCCAATTATACTTTTTTCTTTTGAACCTACATCGCATTGCCTTAAATATGAATAGATAATGAATGCCATTTTTAGAGGTGACGTGAAATCATTTTATTGACAATGGAAGTGTATATGGTATTTGGGTGAAAATGTATTTAAGCCATCACAAATATAGCTCTCTCGAAAATCTGAAGTAAAAATCTAAATGGTAAATATACCAATTTTGTCCTATCAAATCAACTGATACTGTAACATTCTTGTATTTTCGTTGCTCTGGATTTTCGTGGTTTTTCAAATAAGTACAATTTTGTTGAAAGTTCAGAGGGGCCAAGCCATTGCGATAATTATGCAAGGTCGAGGGCAAGTACAGGTTGCTAGACATTTCGGTGTCTATATTTGCACTTTAGAACGTCTTGTTAGACGTCTAAGGGAAACTGGGCGGTTTGCTGACATAGCTAGGTCTGGGCGTTTGCGTAATCGGCACGTTACTGCAACTGATTGTGTCCTTCATACAATAGGTACTTATAACCGTCATATCCATGCAAAAACTGTCAGGAACCGATTGCGGGAAGTTGGTTTGCGGATATGTCACGGGGTAGGTCTGCCACTTACCGCTGTTCGTCGCCAGCATCGTATGGCTTGGGTGGCGGCACATGCCCCCAGAATATTCCCTTTGAGGCATTGGAGGTGGGGCTTGTTTACTGATGAGTCCCAGTTCACCCTGTTTCGAGCAAACATTCGACGTCGTGGAGAATGTTAGGATAGGATTTGGGACGGATCGGTTATGGTGGATGAATCTCACATGGAGTTAAATCACCACTGGTTGTGTTAGCGGGTAGTTTAACAGCTCGGTATAGACATGAGACTCTCCGAACCCATGTTATGTTGTCCATTTATTGCAACTTAACCACCTCATATCCAGTAGGAAAATGCTCGGCCCCATGTAGCGAGGATGTGTTTCGATATTCAGAAATTGGCAGTACATATTAAATTACGGCATCTAAAAATCACTGTTTCTCGACAGTTAAAGTCTAGTAATTGCAACTAATGGTCAGCGAAAGCAATGCTAACTAGCCTGTAACACGAAAGTTGGATAACATAATATCTATGACGCACGTGGAATCATCAAAAAGGCATAAAAAGAGAAAAAAATTGGATAATAGTCTTTCCTCCCGACAGTTATGAAACTGGTTGCCATGACAAACATTCTGAAAGAAAAGGTTGCAAAGACACAAAATCCGCTAACGCAAATACAATCCCAAACAGATTTTTTTCTCCGAGTGCAGGGGTGATAATTGACATTTTTAACTACGAAAGTTGTGGAGTGGTGGAGTTTTCCTTTCAGCGTGGTTTAAGAGATTTTTTATCTTAAGTTATTTCTGATGAGAAAATGCTCAATACTTTAAGGATATACTCTTCTGTATGTAAAACATGAATCAATGTCACATGACTTCCAACCAAATATCATGGACTTTATTGTTGTTATGTACAGTTCTACTTGTAAGGTGAAAGAAAAGGATTCATATGACGTTTTAAAACATTCGCAGACTAGATTTATTGATGACATAAGGGACTTATACCATTTGTTTACTGACGTTAATCTGTGGCTAAGTTTTACATGGTGGGTGTTGTCAATGAAGCAGAAGATGGTTACAGTTTCAGAACACCTGGTCTTTTTCCTGTACTTTTTCAGGAGACTCCATGTCAATTTTTCTGTAACTCATATTTTAAAGTGATTTGAGTCTGGATTGTGATTTTATTAACGTTGTTGTTATTTCCTTACTATTTTTATGCGCAAAGTAATCATTCAGATTGAGCATTTTAATATATTGATTAAGAGACACGAACACGGTTATTGCAAATTATTGTTGTTACAAGTAATTAGAAGTTTTAAAAATTAATTGACAATATTGCGATGAATGCTTAATGAAAGATTTAAGTTGGTTTACATAATAAACCACCTAATCTGAAATCCAATAAGACTTCATCGTACGGTCATATAGTAGTATTGTCCAAGTCGACTATACCTAATGCTTTGAAGATGAGGTTGGTAGCGAAATATACTTTACCTGACGTTGGTCTTCAACCTTTTGACTTAAGGATGCAAAGACTTACTGGTTTCCAAATTAATGTAGTATCAATGGTAAAGGATACTGACTATGTGGGCACATACCCCCATGGTTCGCTGACCATTAGGACATTGGCAATAATAATATGATTTGTCGCACATCACAGAGTCACTGTTTGTGACGATTAGAAAATGTTTATGGCAGCTAAGACACGTTCAGGTGTTGAATAGGATTGGTTATTCCATGACGCTATTTATGTCGTTAGCGAGTGGAAAGTAACTATGATAATCTTACGTAGGCCTAGTATTCAACTTTTCCAGGTCGATCAGTATGTGACATATTCTTATGATAACTTATTTCGTCTAGCAGACTTACGGAAGTATTGTCTTTCCGAAACATTAATTACGTACACATAAGAAAATGGTTGAAATGCAATTCACATTTTGAATAAACGCATGTGAAATAATCTGACGGCGAAATACAAATCATAGCCTAGGCATATACAATAGTATATTGAAAATTTGTCTTTTTGTGACCTCCATTGGTTCGCTTCAGCCATTTTGAATAGTATGCAAGGTTCAAATAAATATATCCTTTGTAATGATAGAGCTGTTTACAGAACTGGTCATGCAGTCTCTTCACTGGATTGCTATCAAAGTATCTTAAAGATATTCATAATAGACTTTTTATTTTTAGTTTTTTATTTTACAAAGATCGAAGTAAGAAATAAAGTTTATGAATATAAGGTCCGTTTTTACTTATTTTCCAGGGATTTAGGCTAAAGGTCATTCACGATAAATAAGGAAAATATTTCTTAAATGTTATAATAGTATAAATACTCATCAAATGAGTGTTAGTGATAAACTGTTTTGTTGTGACCTGTTCCCCATAGATCTATCATAGACTGAAATTGTTCATTGTCTTCAACATCATAAGCAACCAGCATTACGTAAGCGTGTAATCTTGGTGAAATTCTACTTCTTTTGTAGGTTGTTATTGTTGAAATATGATTCCGTTATAAACTGATAGATCACTATGAAAATGCAAATTTAATAATGTATTAAGATTAAGTTCACTACTCATGAGCTAATGAATAGCCATGGATATACTCCATATTTAAAAACAGAATACTTTTTTCGGAACACATGATATAGGCCGCAGTGGTGCATTTTGTCTTTCTATGTCTATCTGTTCTTGGTTTATATGCCACGAATCAATCTTGTTTGAAATTTTAAACATATGCTGTTGATGTGTACATTTTCGCATCAATCTATTATCCAATTTTAATAGCTATTTGGTTTTAAATTAATACAGAATTTAAAGTAAGAATTCCTGAATTTATTTTTCTGGATATTTGTCATATTTTGATTTGATTTTATTTTACCGTCACACTCATTATTGAAGTTACTTCGTGTGAACTATTTTGGAACACCGCGAGAACACTGCAGTGAAATATTATCACTAATGAGAATGAGCATGATATATTTGAATGTTCCCAAAGCAAAACAAGATTACTTGAAGGCACCAAAAAGATTTATGGTCAAACACGGTGTAAATGATTCAGTGTTTGCACCTTTTCAGGTATTAAAATCCATAGCTGTTAAATTTACTCTCACCAAAATTTACCAAAAGAAGAAATAAAGAAAAGAAAATAACCAGCCTCTCGCTCCTGTATTCTCCCGCAACATTTTCCGAAGAACTGCTTTTCAAATTGGCGTGGCCTTACGTCTCAATACTCACTAATCATGGCAATGATATGTCATTAATGTCAAAGTGACGTGGATTTTATTCTCCGATGACTTTTTATGGATATCAAATATACACGATTTTTTCTTATATACACAAAGAGAGAGAGAGAGAGAGGAGCTTTTATTTGCACATGCGCATTTGGTTTGTCTTTCGCCAACGCAGTATCTCATATAAATATGATTTCGGTTTGTACAATAAGTAGGTTTTGCAAATTACATCGAGAGAGCTGACAAACATGGCGGAAGGTAAGAATGTTTGTCGTAATATAGATGTGCCCTATCTATGTAATGTAAATTTTAATTTATTGAGGATAATATGTTATTTGGAGCAAGAGAAATTTGAGTGTATGCGAATTAATCCAAAGAGACAAACTGCTGATGAAAACAGTACCCAAAAGTATGCATATGTCGTTATGCAGTCTTGTTCCTGAACTCTTGCTGAACTGCGCCGCCTTAAAAGAAAATAATTACTATGACTTTACATCATATATTTACACTTGTAAATTGTCACCTATAACAAATCAGGTGATTTCTCGACAGCAAGTTTTTTTTTTACTGTTATGTTATACAGTTGTCATCGAGAGAAAAAAAACGGAGAACGTCTCGGTAACAATTTTCCTGTTAAATTTTCAGAGCATTGGTATTATCTCCGTTTGTTTTGTTTTTTATTTAAAAAAAAATTATGACTCTAGATAAGGACACATGACAGCAATTGTAATGTCAATGCATTTTCCAGAAATTTGCCTTTCTGCCTTTCCTATATTCTTAAATATAATTACGCTTAAAGTTATTTCATGTCTATACTTCTATATGCGGTACTGAACTGAATGAAATGTTGATGTTGTCACGTACATCTGTATGTTACCTGAATATTGTGGTGTTGTGTGGGTCACGTGAGCAAATGTGTGAGCAGTAAGCGTAAACAGCAAGTTTCGCCTGTCCAGGTGGGCAGTACGGCTGTTGTGTAATGTCACCTGTTTACCTGTTTCATGGGAAATTGGTGTCATTTTTGGCATGAAAAGGAGCCCAGATATTTGACTGGGGTAAGTATTCTTTCTGTCTTTAGTAATATGCGGTTTTCTGTGGTTATTTATGGCCATATTTTCCATGTCCTTATCATAGTTCAAGCCCATCTATTATCGGTGCGTGTTCGTTCATGCGTAGCTATCAGGATTGTAAAATGCAGGTTTAATTTCTGGATATAACGTTGAATTTGCTTCTTTTGTAGTTGAAGTTCTCATTGTACATCTATATTTGCTATTATGTTGATGATTTAGTTGTTGTATAACTGCTAACTACCCATAGAAATGTTGTTACGTTCGAGTGAAATATGTATGGAAGCCTAGAGTGGTAGTCGTGTGCGCGTGAACTGGCGAGTGATTGCATAGGTTAAAAAAAATTTATGGAAGGCCGGAGTTGCCTTATTTGTTTCATGTAGCGATATTGTACTTTTGTTGAAATTTGATATAGAATCTCATCACGCACCGTATAATGTAGTCCTTGTGTATTATCATACACAGAAATCATAGAATGTTAGTAGCGAATAACGGATTATCACAAAATTGTAATTTGTGGAAAAACTTTATAGGTTAGTTATGGTAACTATAACGTTTCTCTTTAAAGCTTCACTTGGCGGGTACAAGATTAAAGAATGCAAAAGAGTACAGAAGGTCAGCATTATTGGAGCGCCAGGTCTTCCGCATGCAGTAACGGGACCGATTGACGTTACAGTCAGCTGCAGGAGGGATTGTCTCCAGAACAGACTGGCATGTAATTCCTCGGGAGAACTTTTAGTGTTGATATCCCAGCCACCAGCTCCACAGAGGGAGAGATGCGCGATATGTGTGCATCACTAGCAAGCCGTCAGTTAGGAACTGAGTTATGTCACTTCTTAGAAACTGAGAATCGGACTAAAGAGTCGGTTTGTTCGAGCCTTGCATCCGCAAATTTACACACTGTGGCTGTGTATTTGTGAAACATTCCTGTCGGTGAAGAGACTGTAGATATCTTTATATGTTGCTAAGTTGTATGAATGGAGTACGATTGTGAGTGCGAGTATGTTGATAGTTTTCTGTGTGTTTTCTATGTAAATAAACTGTATTATATGTTCACTGTGTTATATCTCTGTGTTGATTTCCGGATATGCTGGGCAGAGACTCGTCCAACGTTACAAAATTGGTGGCAGCGGTGGTATAACCAACGTTTAGTATTTCTGGAATGACACCCAGGGTATAGTTTAGGTTAGATTGCTTGACATTTCCCACATCATATCGTGCTCTTCTTTGTTGTATTTTCGTGACACCCCGAATCCTACAGATATAAGTAAGCCTTTCAGGTAAGAAGATATATGTCAGTGGTTTGACAAGTGCAGACAAGGTAAGTGGGTGTCGTTTCTGTATAGTTTTGTTTTTCAGTTTAGTATTGTTATCTGTTGGTGATATTAATTGACAATATGTCGAAGGTCCAGGAGCTCAATGCAATTGGAAAGGAATTGGGGTATGACGGTACCAAGTTACAATAGTTCATACGAGAGGAGCAGGCCAGAGAAAGAGAAGATCGTGAAAAAGAGAGGCGGGAACGCCAAGCGCAAAGAGAAGCTGAGTTTACTTCGAAGATGGAAGAAGAGAAGAAAGCTATGTTTGTTGCGCAGGCCAAAATAGAAGCAGAGAGAGAAACCAGAGCGAAACGTGAAGTAGACGACAAGTTGAAGCTGATTGCGGAAGAGGCTAGAGTAGAAGCAGAACGGGAGGCCAGAATTGAAGAGAGAGCCCAAAGGGAACACGTACGCAAGATGGAACTCCTTCAGGCTGGAATGGGAACTCAAGAAGAATCGTTTGCGTCTACTCCTCGAGAGAGGTCTGTGCATAGAGGTCCTAAGTTACCTGCCTTTAACGAAAACAAAAGACAACGTGGACGTTTATATACAGAGATTTGAAAGGTATGCTACAGCTCAACATTGGAAGAACGAAGACTGGGAAGCGAACCTGAGCGCGCTTTTGAAAGGAAATGCGTTAGATGTGTTCTCACGTTTGCCCGTTCAGCAGCCCCTGGAGTTTGATGAACTCAAGAAGGCACTCCTCAAAAGGTTTGAGATGACGGAGGAAGGATTTAGAAAGAGCTTTAGGACATCAAAACCCGAAGGAAGCGAAACATTCGCTCAGTTTGCCAACCATATTGAAAATTACCTTGAGAGATGGATAGAGCTGACGAAGACTGAGAAGACATTCAAAGGGTTCAAAGATCTGATTCTTAGGGACCAACTTCTCCACTGCTGTAATCAGGATCTGTCACTTTTCCTAAAGGAGAGGGTTCCGACTTCAACTGAGGAGATGGCCAGGCTCGAGCCAACTCGTTGTCTTCGA